CCATAGCCCAGTCACAGTACTCCCTGTTGCTAATTGCCATTTGTTTATTTATAAATAACACAAACCTATCTTATTCTTTTTCTGTAGGACATGAGTTCTGGGAACAGTCTGAATGTAACATTAATTTCATTTCTGAAAACAAAAAGAAGGAATCATTTTTCTCTGCCTATTGTAGGTAGATTGGATATTTCAGAATTTGGCTTTCAGTAACAGTTTAGATGTTTGTGTACAATGCCTAGGCTGATTGTTTAAAATAGTTGTAAAAATTGTGGGTTTTAAGTTTTATATTGATCATGAATGACTTTTAAGCAAACATTCTGATTTAGTGCCATACACATGTTTTCTAGAAAGTAAAGTGGGTGTTCCGGACTTAAAATAGCTGTAGTGCTAAACAAGAGTGGCTGGACAATTTTACTGCAAAGTGTCAAAAAGATTCTGTGCAGTCTAGTTAAATTTCAGTGGAAGCTGGTTGGAGAGAGAACTCAGTTCATATTGTATAACTGATTCTGAAACTTTTTCTTTCCTAAAGAGCATATGAAACTGGACTGCCAAAATAAAAACACTGAAGTGTCTAGGAATGAAGTAGGCATGCAATGAGTTAACTACTGAAAATGAAGAGTTTGAAAAAGGAAATATTGAAAGGAATGAAATGAGTACAATAGAACAGTGACTTTTTTTTTTTGCTAAGGTCCAACAGAAACACACACAGGGAGTCTTAACCAAAGGGTGGTTAAAGAAACAGACTGCAGCTTTAAAAAGTCTGATTAAAAATCAAAGTCTTGATTTCGCAGGCAGAGGATGATAGATCTGAAGATTGGTTAGTTTGTGTCCCATTTCAGTTTATAAAACCGCAGTTCTTTTTTGTTGCGAGGCATTGCTAAGAAGCTGTTGGAGGAGGCTGGTCTTTGTGAGGTTTTGAGCTGAGCCTTGTACCTGTATCTCTGATTGGATAAGAACTGTTGCTAGGCTCTTAGTTCCTGGGCAAATTAGAAAGTTGAACATGACCTGTTTGAACGGCTGCCTTGTTTTTCTCAGTTGTCTGCCTCTCTTTCTTGCCTTTGTTCTTTTCCCAGAAGGTACAGTAAATGAGATATGTTCACATCTTTTTAAAGTTGCAACATATATAGTAAAGGCTGAGTAGTCTCTAAGCACAAAACATTAATGTTTTAAATACATTAAGCTTTAGAGCTGTAAATTAAAATTAAAAAAAATGTTTATTTTACCTGGCAAAGATGCTATTTAAGTTAAAGAATAAAAGTTTTTTTCTCTCCATTTTATGGCATATTTATAGGGTTGCATGGCTCTTTAAAGAAGAATAAAATTATGATTGTGTAAGCTGTTGAAGATCACCACCTAGTTCAACAGAGATTTATACATCTGATGAAGTGGACAGTGATCCACACTAGACTACACAATTGTATTTTTTTTATACTTTAAGGGTTCTTTCTGTTGCAAAATTTTACTTTGATTCTTCCTTTGAAAACTACTGAAAAGTATTTCTGCCACTAAAAAAATATAGTGACTTAAAAAAAGCAGCTGATGGTATTATGGAAGTAAACCATTACATGGAGTGGGTTTACATGGCTCAGAAATGCCAACACTAGGCCATGGTAACAATAATTACAATTATAACAATGAAATTAGATTGTATATATAATTAAGGCTATTAAAACTACATAGAAACATGGCTGTCTCTTAAGGCATAGAAATACAATTTAATGAATATTATTAAATAGTTAAGTTACTAGGTATAATTGTGGCTCTAAATTTTCCAACTAAAGTGTATTCTATAGGGACTACGGGGAAGGAGGACCCATTATTGCTGAAAGCAGCTATCCCAAATTGAAATAGAATACAGGAATTTTAAGAAATAAACTAAAAGGGAACTATAAATAGGGTAGTTATAGATCTTAAATAATAAAAAACTATAAACTCAAAGCTGTTTGCTGCAGAATGAATCTTCACATTTTTCTGACAATAGTTTTCTAATTTCCCCAAGTTTACATCTTATTTATATAAGATGAACAACTTTAGAATTTTCTCTGGAGTTATTAAGAACAAGCCGTGTAAACGATTTTGGATATGCCTTATACTCACTCTCCCATCCTAAAGGAAGATGAGATTTAATTAATGATATGAGCTTTCTAAATTCTGCTTTCTAGGTTATAGGCTTTCTAAATTCTGCTTCTTAGATTATGGGTAACTGTTTTCTTAGAAGAAGAAAAAGAAATCATCCCTGTAAAAAATAACCTCTCTTATTTGCATAAATTAATAGTGAAGGAACTAAGCTTTTTGTCTTCGCAACATATAGTCTTGGCTTTTCCTTACTTTAACAACAATGAATTAAGTGTTAAATAATTATTGCATTAAACTGTAGTAACTGCACGAACATGGACTAGTAGAAATGCCTGCAGGAGATGAAGACATGCCCATGAAAACAGCTAGAAAAAGAACATTATAATTGTCAGATTAATCTAATTATGTACAAGAGCAAGACCTGCCCTCTGAAAAATATATACTATTAACTCCAGTATAAGAGGAAACTGATAATTTAGTACCTCTAAAATACTGTGATCTCTTTTGTAGTGAGTTGTCAAACATTTTAGTCTATCTACAGAACGTTTCAGGATCAGAAGTTACATGGGCATTTTTTTAAGTGATGCTACACCTGCTCTCAAAAAAGAGAAGCCTACCTCAAGGTGAGGATTAAACTCAAAAGCATGGAAAGAATCATGCTGGTTCAGCAATTAGTACAGAGGTTCTATATTTGGGAGAGAACCAAAACATTTCTTTGAATCCTTTTTGAAGAATGTGCAGCTAGTTTCCATGCCCACTCTCTCTGTACATCTCCAAATCAGCTAATAGAGGGGATTAGGGTTTCTCTCCCCCCAAAATTACTATATGTTCCCAGAGTTAAAGCAAATGGAAATGAAATTCAAAGGGGAATTGTGGATGTGGTCAGTAGCTGCCTCATAATTATCTGTTCTTAGAATACTTAAATACAAAGTATATAGCTGCAATCAGATGCTTTCCCACCTCATCCACAGTGTTGTTGTCTGGGGTAGCTCTGATAAGTAGCCACATTGCTCTGTTGAAACAATAATAATAGCAAAGTTCTGTTCTCATGTTACACTAAATCCACCATTTTCCAGAATATATGGTTATTTCTATAAGTTTTTAAAGTGCACATGTAAAAGATAAGAATATTTCAATTTTGCAGTTTAAATAGTTCCCTTCCCTGGGAGAGATAAGTGTTATTAATATTGTCTACTTACTATACACAAATCCTCACACGGAGTTTTTGTGAGAACAAAGCAAATACGTGTTAGGTAAACTGAAATTTTAATTTCTGTAACTCTCATGTATTCTTTAAGTGCCAAGAATTATTAAACAGATCGTCAAGAAGTTTAGAGCACTTCTCTGAATAGGTTAAATAAGATAATATGACGAGACCCATTAGTATCTGCGCCAAATATGTTTTTTAGTTTATTTAAGGGTTAAAAAAGCTTAACAGTTTGGTCGACAACACTGCATGTAATGATAATCTAAAGATATATAGGAATTCCCATTAGGTTGTTTGTAGAAAATTTTTGCTATGGCTGACAAAAGCATAATGTTCTAGTAACAGAATATATATTTTGCATATAAAACATCCTTTGGCATTCTCTAGATCAGGCTGGGGAAGATTCTTATCTAAAATGCTGGAAAGGTACTGCTGATTGGACAATTTACTATAAAAGTTGTTATTGATTTCAGTTGCACCATATAACGCAGGTGACATTTTATGAGAAGAAACAATATTTGGCTGGAATACGGAAAGTTATGGACAGCCTTTGGGCAGGGTGCTATGGGAATTCCCAGAAAATGCTCTTCATTCTGCCTCAGGTGTAGCTGGAAGAAACTGGCGCCTGAAGGTCACTTGCAAAGGGTGTGCTAGGTATATGTGGGCCTTGTTTGGTAACAAGATCATTTTCACTATGCATTTAGCACTTGCTTTAAGTGTGTTTTGTACTGCAACAAAAAATTTGTCCTGGATAAAACTGAAAATATTTTCCATATTTTTTTCTTACTGACTAGACCAGGGGTAGGCAACCTCGGCTCTTTTATGACTCGTGGACTTCAACTCCCAGAATTCCTGAGTCAGCATAGCTGGCTCAGGAATTCTGGGAGTTGAAGTCCACGAGTCATAAAAGAGCCGAGGTTGCCTACCCCTGGACTAGACTGACAGAAATTTGTTATGATCTCCAACACATTTTTGGGATCCAAATCAAATACTTCAAATATTGCTAACAGTATTTTAAAAAAAAAAGACAATATGCAAACTATATTGTCTATCAACACAGCACTCCTGTACTTGAGAATGCCGAAGCCCCTGGGATAATTTAACAGATCTGGACACTGTTGGAAGGCTGGGACAGAGTCCTTTTTTTACTCAAGGGCTGCTCTTCTGTTGTTGCAAACAATTCTTCCATTTATTTGCAGAAGGGCAAATGGTTCTCCTCAGAGTCGGGCTTCCTCATACTGTACTGCAAGAGGCCGTTTAAAAATAGCCTGCTCTTAATGTTGCATAGAAACAGGAGAGGAGAGGAGAGGGGGACTACTAAAGGACAGAGAGGCCCGGCCTGCCGTATTTCTTCAGCTCTCGGCTGGCCTGGTTGTGAAGCTTTCTGAAGGCACCACAGTTTCTCCGCCCTCATCCCGGAGCCTTCTACTCATTCGCTCCCCTCACCGCCAGGTAGCCCGTTGGGCCCCGCCCCCAAGGCCTCTGGGCCCAATCATTGGTGGGCGGCGGGCCAAAAGGAGGCGCTCTGGTTGTCTTGTTTGTACCGGGCTCGGGATGCCCCGCCCGCCAGCTGTTTTTAAAAGTCTCTGCCGGCTTACGAGGGAGTCGAGTGCTCCGGTGCTGGGCGGTGGGGAAGGGAGCGGCGAGGAGCCCTGAACGCGGAAGCGGCGGCCGTGGCAGCAAAGCGGCGGCACTCCGGACTCGCGTTTCGGCATGAAGCTGGCGAGTGCCCCCAACCCAACTCGGGACCGCGAAGTAGGGCGACCGTTTCGCTGTACTAGCTGTGGGAACAAGGTAAAGGACCCGAGACCGGGCAGAGAGCGCGGGGAAGCGCCGCGTATCATTTGAGGACTCGGCAAGGGTCTCTAGGCACACTGTTTCTCAACCTTGACCATTTTAAGGCATGTGGACTTCAACTCCCAGAATTCCACAGCCAGCATTGCTGGCTGTGGAATTCTGGGAGTTGAAGTCCACATGCCTTAAAATGGTCAAGGTTGAGAAACACTGGTCTAGCAGGGAGTCTTGTGTGATTAATGGAGACCGGGGGTTGATCTTTGGGTTTCTTCTTGCCGGCTAGAGAAACTTAATGGAGATGACAAATACTGAGCTGCAATATTGAGCTGCAGGGTGGGGAAGGCAAGCATCGAATATATTGCTGGAAAATAATGAGACCAATTAGAAAGTTTGTTGGACATGAAAAGGTTCAAGAATGACTATTGACGGGTTTGGACTCTTGTGGAATCAACCCAGGTGTAAATTCCAAGAATGGATGTAGGAGAGAATGGAATGGGCCCCTAAGATGGGAATGTACGGTCTCTTAGGATTTTTCTAAAGTATTTGAAATATTAGGATTTTAATATTTTTTATCATGATGTAAAATATACCCTTAAAGGGGTTGTTAATCATAAATAATGGGGTGACGATGGGAATGGGTAGCCTGACTTATTTAGTAGTGCGTTCCTCTTTCCCTGGTGGTTTACAGGAAGGTTTTCCATACTGTTGCTTGTTTTGCCGTCTAGTTTGCTTTTAGCTTAAACTACAGAAAAATAGAAAAAGTATGGTCTGAACACTACTCATTCCTATACATAAAATATCATAATGGTACCATTGGAAGTGCAATGCTACTCAAATTTGCTTTGAAGATAATTTTGAAAATCAGATATTTTTTTCTAGTTTATGCTGTTAAAGCTCCTATTCAATACCACATTTGACCCTTGTTGCCATTAAATACCTACTAACTAAGGGGAACAGATTGAGTTAATGCTTTTTTTGCCATTTGAAATGCTAAAACGAGTGATTGGAAACTGCAGAGAAATAAAATGCAGTTAAGCCATGCAAATAACTTATTTGTGGGTAGAGCTTCTTGGCAGCAGATCAGATTGCTGTAAAAGATGGTGGGTTGTTTGTGCAGGAGCTATGCAAGCAGCAGTTAAATGTTTTTCATCTGGCAAGAATACTGTAAACTCATCCAGGGGCTCTAAATGTTCTTATTCCTTGATAAACTTAGACTTCAGCATTTTATACATTGTAGTCTTGTATTTATTCTGTAATTGAAATGCTTAGTATGCTTTTTTCATGGACATCACTTTTGCAATCTGAATCAGTTGCCAGTTGCATGAAAATCTGACCGATATTGGTGTTATGAGTGGGTGCTTATCGTTTTCAAGGTATCTCTATGTATAGTGTGGGTTGTGCTATCATTTAATCAAAAAAGCCTAGAAATAAGATTTAAGGAATTCTATATTAATTTTGGAGTGAATGAAAGAATAATGGAACTGGAGAACTCGTACTTATGAAGAACTTTTTGTAGGAAATTTAACATGCATCAGTCATATGAAGTCTATGGTGTACCTCATAAAAACATTTATAGACAATATCAGTTTTGTATAATCTCTTATACAACTTGGCATCAGCTAACTTCCTCAATTGGTTGTTTGGAGGCTGACTCAAGGAAAATCTCCAGTTGTGTTGTTGTTGTCAACTTGTAAAATAGAGAACAGTATGTGGGTGGAAATGGTTTCTGTGAATGTTCCCACCCCTAAAAATATTGCTTAGCTCCAGAGATCTAACTTGCCTGTCTTGTCCACTTCAGTAATAAGAGTTGAGGAAAATCTAATTGTTTTAGCCATTCATAGTATTTAAAGGGAAATGTACAAACCACCAACACAAATCTTACCACATGAAAACGTATGAAATCATTTATTAGAAACTGAAAAGAACCACAGAGATTTAAAGATGCTTGTTGTTGCATGCAAATTTAAATATCTAAATTGACCAGAAAATAATGTTTCTGAGAGAGAGGGAAAGGGTGGGGAGAATAAGAATGGATCCTTGTCCCAAGTGGATAACCATTTAAAAAGGGTGAGTATGCAAGTATAAATAAAACCATATATTGAATGCAGATGACAGCAGCATATGAATTAAAGGGTTATTAAAAGCCTCATGGGAAAGATAGTTTTGAGGGAAGAATTTTAAAAAGTGGAAGATCTTTCGGAGAGGGAAAGGGCAAAGTTGTATGAGGAAACCAACACCTACTGAGGATGGTAGTGGAGGAAATGAAGATTGAGAGATGGTAGAGCAAACCTTTTATAGTTTTAATTGTAAAGACAATAGTTTCTGAACTTGTTAGAAGATCAGTGCATGGACTAAAAGAACTGTATTATGTGAATTAATGAAACAATTCTGGATAAAGGTTTAGCAATAGAAAACAAAAACAAGAAGGCTTCAAGAAGTGTAGATCAGAGGTCCCCAACCTTTTGGGCACCAGGGACCAGTTCCGTGGAGAGAGGTTTTTCCGCAGACCGGAGTGTGCGTGGTTTTGTGTGCTGCCTGCATCCCGTGGATGGGTTTCAATTGTTTGTGCGGCCCAGTTGCTGGCATGCCGCGGCCCAGTACTGGTCCACGGACTGGGGATTGGGGACCCCTGGTGTAGATGAGAGACAGGCAGAACTTGATAAAGAGTTTTCCCAAAGGAAGAGGGGAATAGAGAACAAAGAAATCAAAGACGGAACTAAGCTTTTTTGTCTTGTTCTCAGTACGTTTAGAGGTAAAAATAGGGAACCTGCGATGAAAAGCATAAGAAGATATTTTAATCTGGGATATGGAGCTTCAATAGGATTATGACAACTATGAAATAAAACACATTGGATTTGAGGAACTGATTGAAGAGATACTGTACTGATAATATACACTGAAGAAAGTTTAAAGCATAACTATTTTTGGCTGAGGAATCAAGGTGGGGCCCAAAACGTATGTACTGATTCTCTAATGTTTCTGTTTTTTGGCACCCTTTTGTCTATGGTGAAGAACTGCTATTCTTGTACAAACTGATAGAACATAAAAGTAGAATAAGAAAGATGGGACATTTCAATTTTTGCCCATACTGGCTTGAGAGAGGCTGCCAAAAAGATTGGCTGTCTCATGTTGTTTATATTAGCACTGCATATTGTCTCGCCTGCCGGTTACATTTATTCAAACTGATAGAAGAAAAAAAAATAGTGCGGTATTTTATCAAGTAGATAAATAGATTACATGCCTTTAAAAGATAAAGAACGTATGCCTGTTTTTTTCCCCAGTTCAGAAAACCTACACAAAAATAATGTAGATACCAATGATTCTGTTAGTGGACCTGCACCAAGCTTAAGTTGACCCTGTCTTTCAGAGTAGGAATCTAACTGCATGATGCTTTCTGATATGGACACTTGCGGTGCTGGTAGCCATTGCTGCTGGTGTTCTATATTGGCACAGCTGGTAGATGTAGTGATGACCATTCTCTAGTCCTCCGGGCATTTAGTGGTGCCATCAAAGTTCAAAAAGCAGCTGCTGACTACCATATTTATAGACCCCACATTTATTGCACAGACTGGGACTTTTTGGAGCAAGGAAGTTATTATATTTCCCCATAAAAAGAGAGCTGCTGCTACATGGGTTTGCCAGGGTGAATGAGCAGTGTAACCAATCGGGATGCTTATAGCTACATCACAAATGCCACGTTTTCATGTACTGTAAATTTCTAAAATAATTGGAGTTTGTGTGTGTGTGAGAGAGAGAAAATGTATAACTCATTTAACCATCCATCCTTTTTTTAAAAAAAAAATTATCCTGCCTTTATTATTTTTATAAATAACTCACGTCAGCAAATATATCTAATTTTCCTTCCTTCTCTTATTTTCCCTACAACAACCTTGTGTGGTGGGTTGGACTGAGAGTGACTGGCCCAAAGTCACCCAGCCGGCTTTTATACCTAAAGCAGGATTACAATTCACAGTGTTCTGGTTTCTAGCCTAGTAACTTAACCACAGACTAGACCAAACTGGCTCTTGGTTCAGTCCTTCTTTTGATTATTTAGTAATTGACCAGGAGAGGGCTTGGCTCCTGTTCTCCAGAACCTGTTGTAAGATAATCACTTTGCCCACATAAGTCAATTTGCTTTTTCAGCGGGCAGCCAAAACTCCAGCAGTGCTTCTCAAAGGCCAGGTCTTGCCTTTTTTAATTGCTGGTCTCTACTAATGATTTTTTAATGGGTGAAAATACTTATATATCATAACTTGGTATATTTTTCCCAATGCAGAAGTAAAATATTTTCTTCCGACACAGAACTTCTTTTCTGGATGAAGTGATTTGGCACAAAAAAATGATTATGTGACGTAGGGCTTGTTCACAATAACAAAAGCAACCGGCGTTTGTTTTGTGAATTCCATAAAGTCGTCTTTTTAATTGCATAACCATACGTTGCAGAATTGGTTCATGCAGTGTCTGTATAAAGATGTTTTTTTAAAATGCCACTTGGGTAATCTGAATTCACTGTTTTTGTAATGTGTTTAGAAGATCGTAGCTGAAAACATTTTAGTTGTGCAATGGGGCTTGACAATTAATTCAGCGAAAGTTTTGCGGTAGATAAAAGTTTCAAGTTGACTATAAATTCAGCCTGAGAAATTACTGTTTGTTCTTTTGTCATTTTTAAATAGACATTTTTAAAAATCCTATTGCATGTATTTTTGTGGCTTCCCCCTCAAGCCCTGATAAAATTACAGCCCTGTTATACTTCCTGAAAGATACTGAGAGATTTCATACATAATTCTGTTTTGCGGATATGCAGATGCACTTCAAAAGCCTCCAGTATCGCTGACATTACCCTGCTAGCAGCTGTGTACTGAACTCCTTGTCCTTGACCCTTTGCCAAGTACTTTATGCAAAACTAGGTTTTTTACTGAACCAGGTTTCATTGTTTTTAATGGCAGTAGAATGGTGCACTGTAAACAAGTGTGGCTTGTTATGAAGCATGGGCAGAACATTTCCACTGATTGCACTTCTGAAATACAAGGACAGTTCTGTTTCAGTGGGGAAGCATTAATTGCTCTCAAAGCCACAGCTGAAATGTTTATAACTAAAAACTCCAGGTACTGCAGTGTAACATTCTTTTCTAGGAACTTGGAATCAGGATCCCCAGACCACTGGGACAAGGACCAAGCAGATTCATCCCAGAAATGGAGGTATGTGTAAGGCTTTCTGTTTTGCATGAAAACAACCAATTGGTGACAGTTTTGCCAGTGTTGGAGGGGATTTTCAAAGTTTAATGTCAACTGAAGAACAGCTGTTAATATGCAAATTTCTGTTAGTGCAACAAATCATTAGTAGTGTTTGGCAACCGAACAAGATGTTCTTGTAACTTTAATACAGGTAGTCCTCAATTTACATTTCACTTAGTAACCATTCAAAGTTACATCGGCGCTGAAAAAAGTGACTTAGGACCATTTTTCACAGTTACAACCTCTGAAGCATCCCCATGATCATGTGATTAAAATTCGGATGCTTGGCAACTGGTTCATACTTTGTGACCGTTGCTGCGTCCCAAGATCATGTGACGATCACCTTCTGCAATCTTCTGACAAGCAAAGTCAATGGGGAAGCCGGATTCACTTAATGATCAGGTTACTAATTTATCAACTGCAGAGATTCACTTAACAACTATGGCAAGAAAAGTCATAAAATGGAGCAAAACTCACTTAACAAATGTCTCACTTAACAACAGAAATTTTTGGCTCAGTTGTAGTCATAGGTCCAGGAATACCTGTAATTTAATTGGCCATTTTACACTGCCCAATTCTGTTGGGCATCAAATATTGTTTGACCTGACCCATAGGGTAATAGACCTGCATGTTAAATAAATATAATTAGCTGGTGAACTTTAATTCCAAATTAAGATTCACAAGTGGCTTCTGAAACGAATTTATTTTTCACTACTTAGCAATTTGGAAGGCTGCTGTAGTACTTTATTGACTGTCAAATTGCTGATAAATAAATATATGCTTTCTATTTATTTCTCAGTTAAAATGTGCCTCCAGATAATTAATCAGTCACATTATTAATTTGTAGTTCACATACTATTTGACATGTTTGGGCAATGGTTAATTTCTAGAATCTCTTCTCTGCCCCAACTCAGTGTGTGTACAGTACAGAGACTTAACAACTTATTTGGACAGTTTTTCTCATCTTCAGCGGCTTGAAGATATATGGACTTCAACTCTCAGCATTTATGGCTGGGGAATTTTGGCAGTTGAAACCCATACATCTTAAAGTTGCTGAGGTTGAGAAACACTGACTTTGTAAATTACAATTATTTAAAATATTTTACTTTTGCTGCTAGAAAATATTATTGTGATTTTTTTTCTCTGATTCACACAGATACTTCAAGTGAGCGCTGAGGATCCTCAGATGTCTTCTTTGTTTGCTGAGCCTTTCACAACTTTAGGGCATTTGGATAATATTACATTGGTGATGGTTTTTCATCCACGGTATCTGGAGAGCTTTTTGAAAACACAGCATTATCTACTGCAGATGGATGGTCCACTGCCTCTTTGCTATCGACACTATATAGGTATAATGGTATGTTGAATTATGACCCATGAAACATTTTTTTACAGCATTAGTGTTTCTCTTTAAAGTTTGTGTCTGTGCTTAGAGAATCTCAGTATTTCTGTGAATTGTATTAATTTGTAAAAATAGCAGTGTTCTATCTCTGGAATATTTTAGATATCCTAATGAGTTTCTATCTGCACTAAATATTATACACAAAATTATACACTATCATAGATATAACTTCTTTATTAAAATGAGCAACGAACAAGTTGACTTTTGTTTACACTGTCATGTTCCATAAAAACAGTCAATTTAGTATCACTGATGCTGAGTAAAGTGGCTTTCCTATTCCCCCATCAATCATTCTCCCTTCAGTCTTTCAATACAGCTCCAAAATACCAAAGCAAAGCTGATTTAAGATTAAGTGGACTTTTAGGGAAATGGATTTAAACTTATTAGATGGATTTAGATAAGAGAATTCAAGGGGTAATGTTCCTAACACAACACTGATTTAAACACATTTAAATCAAAAATGTTGTTCCACAATCTGATAATCTGAACTGGCTTGGGCGAGCTCAGTTGTAAATTTGGAAACTTCCTATACCAGTGGTGGTGAACGTATGGCACGCGTGCCAGAGGCGGCACTCAGAGCCCTCTCTGTGGGCACTTCTCTGAACTGCTGGCGGTGGGCTGCAGAGCCCCCAGAGGCAGGCTGTGGCTGCTGACGGACACTGTCGGCCCCCATGCGCTCGCTGGCCTCTGTGTGCAGGGGCCGATGGTGTCAGGCAGCAGCTTCCCCGGCCCCTGCCTTGCCTTGCCCTGAGATAATGGCACCCCCACTCTGCCTCGCCTCACCCCGCAGGACGAGCCTTCTACCCACCACGCCACCTGCCAGGGACCCCCTGGATCTCCCCCAACCTTGCCCGGCCCCCACAGGCGTCCCCACGAGCAACATTGAGGTGACCACGCCCACCTTGGCCACACCCACCCAGTCTGCCATGATCACAGCCACGCCCACCCAGTGGGCCACGCCCACCTGGCACCCGGCAATAAATAAGTGGGTTTTGGGTTGCAGTTTGGGCACTCAGTCTCTAAAAGGTTCGCCATCACTGTCCTATACTTTTAATAATCGTGCCAAGGGCTCTGTGATAATTTCAGTAGAAGAGTACATGCAGCTCAGAACTGAACTGTAGATTCCTTGGTGTGTTCTCTGAGCTTGGTTGTTTGCTTGCAGCCATTTCATTACTCAATTAGGTAACATCATCAGTGCTAGTGAATGTGGATTTGCTCCCTGTTTATATACACTGGCTTGTCCTCCTGGTTTTGATGGGGGTGTGGATTTCTACTTGGTAGTTCCTTGATGAGGGTATTGTTTTCTGCTTGTTTGTCAGTGTTAATTCATGGTTATTTGGGTGTTGACTGCTGGAGCAAATTATTCTGGTCTTTGTTTCCTTTTTAGCTTTTGTCTCTTTTGAATGGCAGGTAAATATGCTATATTTCTTACAATAGCTGATTTGTCTGAATACCAAGCTTCCAGGAATTCTCTAGCATTTTAGGAATTAACTTCCTCTACGATGCTCACAATTTTCCAGTTGAAACTATAGTTGAGTCTGTCCGTTTTTGGCTGCATGAGATTATGGAGTTTTCATTGTGTCCTTCTGACTGTTCATGGATCTGTTCTTCTAGTCTTCAGCCAGTCTGTCTTACATACTGGCTGCTACAGTCCTTATACTGTATGTAGTAGACGACATCCATTTTTTTCTTCATGGGCTACTGGTTGTTTTGATTTACTTAAGAGGTTTTGGAGGGCTTTAATTTAGTTTAGTTTGCGTGCTATGGTAATGCTGTGTGGTTGAAATAGTCCTGCTGATTGTTTCTGAGATTTTGTTGTTGTAGTGTTATTCTTTTCATAGCTTGTATTGGTTATGCTCTAGATCAGTGGTTCTCAACCTTTTTAATGCCGCGACCCCAACCGGTCGTAAGTCGAGGACTAAACCGGTCGTAAGTCGAGGACTAAACCAGTCATAAGTCGAGGACTAAACCGGTTGTAAGTCGAGGACTACCCAACCAGTCGTAAGTTGAGGACTTTCCCTGCCCAGGAGCGCCGCGCATGCGTGGTTCCGCCCCCTGCGCCGGCCGAGGCGTAGCTGGCAAGCGGCAGAGACGGAGCAGGCCGACCACCAGCTGGCCCAGCCCAAGAGAGGTAAGACACCCGCCGGAAAAGGGGAAAAAAATGGCGGACAAAAAAATGGCGGACAGCCTTGCTTGGCGACCCCCATGAAATGGTCGATCGACCCCAAATGGGGTCCCGACCCACAGGTTGAGAACCACTGCTCTAGATCAGGGGTAGGCAACCTTGGCCCTTTTATGACTTGTGGACTTCAACTTCCAGAATTCTGGGAATTGAAGTCCACGAGTCATAAAAGAGCCAAGGTTGCCTACCCCTGCTCTAGATGACTGAGTAGTCAAACTTTTTTATAAAGCTGCATGGATATCCATTTTGTTGGAAGATGTTGCATAGACCATCTACTTTCTTGTTCTGATGTATGGGCTTGCTGCAGTGTGTGCGTGTCTGAATAATGTTCTTACACAGCTCCTCTTGTAGGAGGTTGGGTTGTAACTTTGGTAATGGATTGTTCACCTTTTCACTATCTCCATAAGACTTGCAAAAATTTTCCGTCTGGAAACTTTTTAACAGTGAAATGGCTATATAAAACAAAGAGAGTACAGTTTTGAATGAATTCAAACAGAAATTAGAACTAAACTATTATGTCTCAGTAATGATGTCACCATTGTATGATAGTGATAATAGGAAAGAACAATTACTTTACATCATTGCATTCATACATAGTCTTCCATTTCTATCATCAATTTGCAAGACATTTTTTGTATAAAATCATTTTAATTGCTTTCTTACGGTGTATATTAAGATAAGATATGCATCTTTTACTTTTATTAGTACGGGGATTAAAGGTTTCCTACAATGTTTGCATCCTGAGAATATGAACAGGATTCTTGACTCATTGAGGTGGTCCACATGCAGGCTTGTTAGATTTAAAAGGGATTTAAAAGTAGCCAGCTATTCAGTGGTGCATATGGTTAGTTCTAGTCCAGTGATGGCGAAGCTTTTAGAGCCCGAGTGCCCAAACTGCAACCCAAAACCCATTTATGCATCGTTGACTGCCGGGTGGGTGTGGCCCATTGGGTGGGCATGGCTGTGGTGGTAACAGCAGACTGGGTGGGACTAAAAAGTTCAATCAATCAATTCCAACTTTGCAAGATCTTTTTTTTTCCTGTGAGAAGTTGAAATTGACTGAACCTTTTTTTTTTTGCACACGGCGGCGGAGGCCTAAAGCAAAAAGGTTTTATAAAACCCAGCTGAAGGCCTAGGACTGGGGCGACGGCGCGCGTGCCCACAGAGAGGGCTCTGAGTGCCGCTTCTGGCACCCGTGCCTTAGGTTCGCCACCACTGTTCTAGTCTGTTCTGCTTAACAGTGATTAAGAAAGTAACTTTATATTTAAATGATATAAATATTTGGTTTCATTATTTTTATTAAATGCATTAATACATAGTAATGATCTAATTTCCGAAAATCCTGGATAATTGCATGGATCCATGCCTCATTGGAGAAAAATTCCATCCTGGTTGGTTGTGTTTTTGTTTTTAATCTACCAACAACTTTCAGTAATATCCTCTGGGTTACCATGTTGCGAGGAGTTTGCAAAGGAGAAATATTTTATTGATCTAGTTTAATTTTGATAGAATACTTTAGAAGGCAATGCTAAGAGGCTCATGTAACCCTTTGGCCTGGATCCCATGGTGGGGATGGTTTTTATCCTGTTTGTTGGCATTTATGTAAAACTGTTAACAGATCACTTGAAGATAAACAGTAAATTTTTATTGCCTAGGATTGCCTAGGCAATAAATGCAGAATAGTCCTTGCCCAAAATCTTAAGCAATTTATTTGACTCACTTAGGAGCTGATTGGACTTCTTTGTGTTTTTGTTCTTGCCGTTTTCAGCTTGTTGAAAAATCATTCTAATGAAGATTCCGTTTTGTAAGCCACTGTGTGCAAATGCTTTTTAGGGGAAAAATTGGATATCATTTCAGTCAACGAAATTTCTTTCTAGAAATACAGTCCTTAAATCAGGGATGATCAATGTACAGCCCTCCAGATGGAAATGAACTCCATTCCCCATCGATCCTCACCAGTGTGATCATTACTGAGAGATGAGGGAGTTGCAGTTTATCCTACATCTAACTCATTCCTGTAAATAATAGGATTTGCCTCTGCAAGTTGCTTTCAAATTTAATCCATTTCACTATATTACTTTTCAATTTTGACCTTGCGCATAAGGCATATAAAAAAAATGAAAAATAACTAAAAGAGAATACATGATATTTTTTTTCCAGTAGTGTACTGTATTGGGTTACATGTATTATTTTACTTATGCAGTGTTCTCTGTAATTACATTTTTAGATGACTATGGAACATCTCTGTTCCATAATTCTTGTTTGCACATTGTTCTCTAGGCTGCAGCAAGACATCAGTGTTCTTACTTGGTGAACCTTCATGTCAATTATTTTCTACAAGTTGGAGGAGATCCTAAATGGCTGAATGGTCTAGAAAATGCACCTCAAAAGTTGCAGAAGTTGGGTGATTTGAATAAAATCTTGGCACACAGACCCTGGCTCATTACAAAGGAGCATATTGAAGTAAGGATGTTTCTTGAATCTAGTATGATCTTATATTTTTGAAATGGCTGTCATTGTTTGATGGTCCGTAATTCTTAATGTTTGTTATTCAAATTTAAGTTATTGCAGAATCTGTCTCCAGATCACTTTAATGAATTCAGGGGTTCCCCCCCCATCACTTGTTGCAATATTTTTTTAAAAAAACAACATTCTTTTTGTTTTTACCAGCTCAAAATGAAACAAGAATAGATCATCCATTCTCTACAGAAGTGCAAAAATTGTACCTGTTTTGATACATTTTCTCTCCAATTTTTTGAGTCTTATAGCACTAATGACTGAATAGTTTCTGGATGTTTGACTTTTACAATATTTAAGGTAGTTAAAATATATTGTTTCAAAATTCATTTCCTGCGTAGACTTTGTGCTTAGTCATCTTTAACCACTGCCTGCTTTTATTTCTAAATTACATTACTGTCCTAGATCCATAGAATGAACAATAAACGGTGTAGTTCTCATAGTTGCCAAATAAAAAAGGGCTGTGAAGTAGTTAACATGGTTTTCTGCATTTTAAAAGAACCCTTTAGAATACACTTAACATTAGTCTCTTGCCTAGTATTTTTGATCCACTGTGGGCTTACATTTGTGATATTACTTGTGGTGTGATGATTATAAGTTAGTGGTGGGATGTAGTCTGGAGTCCCAGAAGGGAGGGACTGCTTCACAGAGGGCAAAAAGGCAGGGGAGCTTGAAAGGTCTGCTAGTAGTTTACAAAGTATATCTATAGTTATGCAGATAGTTGCTTTAAACTGGCAAGAGTCTGTCTGTAGGTAAACAACAATAAAGAAACTTCTCAGATGTAACTCCACATGTCACTGTTGGTTCTTGGGGCCTGGCAGAATTTGATGTAATGATTACATTCCTTCTCCTTGCTTTTTGTTTTAAAGCAACTTCTAAAAACTGAAGAACACAGCTGGTCCCTGGCTGAATTGGTCCACGCTGTAGTACTCCTCACACACTATCACTCGCTTGCTTCATTCACTTTTGGCTGTGGAATCAATCCAGAGATCCACTGTGATGGTGGTCACACTTTCAGGCTGCTCTCCGTTGATGGTTATTGCATTTGTGATATAGCAAATGGCAATCACGATGAATATAAGATGCACACCCCTGATACAGATATTACAGTGAGTATTATGTTCTGAAAGGTTGAGCGTGTTTACCTTTTTTAAAGGCATCTGCTTGTTGTGTATATTTGCAAAGTTGTACAACTTTCCTTCCTTCCCTTCGTCTCTCCCTTCTCCTTTTTTTTAATGAAGAGAATGAATACTTTAAACCAGAAGTCCCCAATCCCCGGTCCATGGACTGGCGCCAGGCCATAGCATGCCAGAAACTGGGCTGCCTAAACAAGTGAAGCCCCATCTGCGGGATGCAGGCAGCATGCAAAACCACACACCCTCCAGTCCACAGAAAAACTTTTCTCCAAGGAACCGGTCTCTGGTGCCCAAAAGGTTGGGGGGGGGACTGCTTTAAACTATCAAATACATCTCTTTAATAATGCAAGATGGCTGCTACAAAGGGGCACACTGAAATGGAGTATATCTGTTAGTTAACCATTGGAGGAGGCTTCTGTATGCCTTTGTAATCATAGTGTTTGAACACATGGACCCTGGGACACCAAAAGAAATTCAGAGAAATTTTTTGGAAGTCAAGAGGTGTGGGAAGAAGTTGCCATATTAGACTGAAGGCAATTTAACTTGGATGTAGTCTAGAGCAGTGGGGGCCCCAACCTTTTAGGCACCAGGGATCGGTTCCGTGGAGAGAGGTTTTTCCACAGACTGGGGGGGGGGGTCGTGTGCTGCCTGCATCCTGCGGATGGGGCTTTGCTTGTTTGCGTGGCCCAGTTTCTGGCATGCTGCGGCCAGTTGCCGGTCTACGGACCAGGGGTTGGGGACCCCTGGTCTAGAACATGGCATTTCATTTTCAGCTGCATCTTTTGTACTGTTACTAATAATATTAATATATGTTAACAGTATTTCCTGCAGCAAATACACTGTTAGATATAATTGCATGCCAGGAAACCCAATTGGATTAAGATACACAGACTTGGATTCCTCTCAATATGAGCTAGAAGAAACATCAATGTTCAAGAAACGTTTTTTCTTCTAAGAGTTAGTCTGACCTTTCTAAATTAGCACTAGGAATTATCTGATATATCCCCTGCAAGACAAAGAATGGTTAGGTTATAAGACTGTTTTTATTTTCAAGATTATATTATTGAAGGTAATTATAAAGTTCTTAAGGAATGGATAGTCTTCTCACAAACAGTTTGCATCATGTTAGTTTCATTAAAACAAACAAATAGTCATTCAGTTTTTAATTGTAAGAAGTATTGGGACTATGAAGTGTTACCAGTTAGAAACATGATTTGCCGCTCATTTGAGACTTTATTAATAATAATGCAAGGCCTCAGCCTTTTTGAAATTTGTTCTAACAAGTTCAAAATAAAGAATTAGCTATATTATAGCAATCAAAATTATAGGATATTTAATGTTACTATCCTGTGATATAGTGCCACAGTAAGGAACCACCACTAGCAATTCCTGCCCGCAAGTATATTTATGCATCAACTTTACATATTCTCATTTTGGGACATTTAAAATTACTTCAGGCGGTAAAACAATTTCTATGTATTTGCTATGCAAAAGAAAAAATGTTCCTTTAATTAAGCATTAGAAAAATTATATTTGCTTCCTTCTTAATTCTATACATAGACATTCTAAAAAAGTTGCAAGTACTAGGCTAGGTATAAAACGGAAAATCTGATGTTTATCATAATAGCGTATCAGTGCTACATTGCAATTTTAAAAATGTTGCTATTAAAGATTCCCGAGCCCTCCTGTGAAGTAGAAGCACTCATGGAAAAAATGAAGCAAATACAAGAATGCAGAGACGACGTTGAAGCTAGTCAAGAGGAAAAGGCCACACGATTTGAGAAGGAGAAGAGAGAAAGCATGTTGGTGGGTTGCTCAGGTCAGAACATATTTAATATTCATTTCTTTATTTTTTAAAAAATTTGACATGTATATTTATCAGTTCCGGTATTTAGACTGTACTTCCTCATTATCATGTAACATAAATAATTCATCAGGGCAACCATAATTGCTCTCTTCTAAAACCAGGGGTAAAAATGGGCCACAATTATCACCACCATCACCACCATGATCATCCAAACCTACATTCAACACAGCACACTCTAAAAAGTTTTGACCATCGGGCAGTAATTTTTAGAAAATTTGTACCTAAACTACCACCCCTCAGTGTAGGCCTGACATTGCTTCCTTTAAGACAGACATGTCAAACTTGTGACGTCACGTGACATCGCGCAACGTATCGGGCCGGTTTTGCCATTGCCGGCAATGGGGTGGGTGTGGCTTCCACGTGACGCATCCGGGCCACAAACCGGTGCTTTAAGAAATCAAGAATCCAGTTATTGCTCAAAAAGTTGTTAATTGTTTCACAGCTCGGTATAGACCTGTCAGATTTCTTAAGCAAGATGAACAATAATCCAGAAAAGAAGTGCCAGGTCTCAGAGATTGTCCATGTGTCCGTCAAAATGAAAAATATAAAATCTTAACTAAATGGGGTCTTTAGATCTGCTGAACAAAATATAATTCAGGTTGGTACAAATGGAAAACTTGCGGACCCCAAGCCAGATGGTGTGGAACTGCTGCCTTCCAAAAATTTCCAGCCACAAAATTCCCAACTTAACGTATCTGTTGGCTATGTGACTCACAATTCAGGGAACCTAAAGAGGTCCAGATTGAGTAAATACAGTGAAATCTTGATTTATCTTGATGAAAAAGATTTTATAAGGATCAGACCAATTTTCTGCACAAATTGATATCATTTGCATAATACTACACACACAAAGTAAATAGTATAATTTGTCATTTGTGAAACAGCACCATTATGCAAATGACATAAATTAACACAAGTGGCATAATTAGTGTAATGGTATCAAGCAGATGATGCAAATTGTCACATTAGCACTTGCCAGTTTATCAGACATTCATTTATAACAATCATGCTTAAAATTAATCTGTTAAAACTTAAGAGGTTTAAAAAATGGAAAGCTGCATAATCACTAATAGGACAAAGCAGATTTTATTTATAAATAAATGTGAATTATTAGCTCAATGGAGCAGGCCAGCAAGTTTAGCTCTCTCTCTATTCAGTCACTTCATTTTAAACTGAAAGATCTGTATGGGCTTAAAATCTCTCTCTCAAATGATAAAAACAGTTTTGTGTTCCATATCATAGTAAGTTTTCAACAGCACTAGGAAATACTGAAAATGTTACATTCAAGCCAAAAAAATCTGCTCCATAACTTTTACGTCATTTACAAATCCCTAATGACAATTCCATGTGTGTAGGTATAATAACCATAATGATTTAACAATTGTCAGTAAGAACAACAACAAAAATCTGGAGAGTGAATGTTACAGAAAATGAAGATAGCAAGAATAAGAAAGAATTGGGGAAAATAACAAAATACAAAAGACCTACAAATAGAAATTAAGTGACTATGGCAAAGGAGAGTAGTACCGATAGTGATAGATCCCAAAATATCTGGAGCACCACTTGAATAAAAGTGGCATTGACAAAATCGCCATTAGTCAATTGTAAAAGGCAGCTTTACTTGGAACAGCTTACATCCTGCGATGCTATCTTTTAACACCAAGAAACAACATCTGCCTATCCCAGGTTCTTGGGATAGACTGGATAGGTGGATAAAAACGCCAGATCAAATCTAAATATTTGGCTGACCCATCAACTGGGACCTATTTCATGTAGGGCTTTATAGGTATCAACCAGCATTTTGAATTACACCTAGAAGGAAATTGGCAATCGTGAAGTGGAGGTGTTACATGAGTCTATCGATGAGTCTACCTGCTGGATCAGTTGAAGCTTCCGGGGTGTCTTCAAGGGCAGCCCAAATAGAATGCATTATAGTAATCAAGCCATGAGATGACTAGGGAATGAGTGGCTGTCTGCCAGACCCTTCCAAACTAGAAAAGATGCAGTGGGTGTACCAGATAAAGTTGTGCAAATACCTTCCTAGCCACAGGTGCCCCTGCGTGTGTATGTACTGTAAAAATACATAATTGCCTAAGAACAAATAGGAAGAGTGTGTGTTGTAAGCAGTTTATATGTTGCGGCATGCCCAAGCCAAGGCTTCTGTTCAATTGGCTCATTCTCACTGCCTGTCAGTTATCAGAAGCAGCACAAGACAGGGTGCTCACAACCCGCCCGTAGATTAACTAAGTCTTTTGTGTATAGTATTTGATAGTAGAAAAACGGACGTATTTACAGTGTGGAACTTGTAGCCCAAAAATTGCAGTGGCAGCAATTACTGTACAGCTAAGCTTGTATAGTTGGTTCATTGCCACTAAAGCTGTGAACTTTTCTAATGTTTGTAGATGGATGGTTAATTGTATCTACCCTATCAATCTGCTTATGGGAGAGGCAATAAGATCATAAGCAAGGATGTTTGATGCGAATTCCTAGTCCTGTATACATTATTGACCCTTTTCACAGTAATTAAGCAGGAGTTCATTCTCAAGGGCTAGTTTTCTCATATTTGGAAACAAATGTAGAAGAAAACACGCGTGTCCATTTTTCATTTGCTGCCACATAAACAATGTTCAAATAAGTTGCAGCTCTCCATTACATAACACATAAGGTGAACATGTATTGACCCTTATTTTTATTAAAAGCGAAGTTTATGTGGGGGGGAATTCCAGTACCGCATTTTTGAAGAAGCTATATTTTATCTGCAAAATGCTTTTCCTGTATTGATTACAGAAGTTATTTATTATAATTTTGCAATGTGCTTTTAAGCTGTTTTTATGAAATTACCTTGTTATATATTTAACAGAAGATGAAGAAATAGCACCAACAAGAGATGTATCTCGTCACTTTGAGGACACTAGCTATGGTTATAAAGATTTCTCAAGACATGGGATGCATGTACCTACCTTCCGTGTACAGGTAAGTCATACATTTTCAGTATAGAAATGCAAAGTGTTCTCCAGAATATTAGTTGTATAAATTACACAGAATATTAGGTATATAAATTACTGTTAAGTTTTTTTTATAACTTTAAAGCAAGCATAGGCAATTTGGTGCCCTGCAGGTCTGAACATTTACTTATCATTCTCAGGTAATATATAGGGGGATTATTGTGAAAGCTATGCAGATAACCATTCATTTAGCAACCTTTCAAAGTTACAACGGCACTGAAAAAAAATGACCTGCGACCAGTCCTCATACTTACAACTGTCACACCATCCCCACTGTCAAGGGATCAAAATCCAGGCACTTGATAATGATAGGCATGTATTTAGATAGTTGTAGCATCCAGGGATCATATGGGGGAGTCAGCGTTCCAGCCAGTTTCGGACAAGCAAAGTCAAAGGGGGAAGCCAAATGACTGCATGATTCACTTAACTGCAGTCACTCAGTTAACAAACCTAGCAAAAAAAAAAGTTCATAAAATGAGGCGCAACTCACTTAAAAAAACACCTTACTTAGGAATGGAAATTCTTGGTCATAAGTTGAGGACTACCTGTAGTTGAAACCAGTGGAGGACAACAGAATATCCATGCTGTTGGCATACATACAGTACCAATTATTTCCTTAATTTGGGTTTTAAAAATGAAGTGAAAAATATATTTTTCTACTTTGTCAAAAAGTTCTTGAGAACTTGGTTCCATGTACCCATTTTGCTTTTAAGGACTATTCGTGGGAAGACCATGGGTATTCACTGGTAAATCGTCTCTATCCAGATGTAGGACAACTGATAGATGAGAAGTTTCAAATTGCCTACAACTTGACTTACAACACAATGGCTATGCATAAAGATGTGGATACATCAATGCTTAGACGTGCAATCTGGAATTACATCCACTGTATGTTTGGAATAAGGTTGGTCCAGATCAGCTTTAGTTATCTATTAATTTTGGCAATTTTGCTCCCCATATGAGCTCTGTACATATGCAGTAGGCTTGAACACTTATTATCAGACTGAGTTTATATTAAGAACCTACATCAAAAGGCACGAGCATAGAATCAATGAACTCGATAAAAAAAATAATTGCACTGGTAACTCCTTATTATCAAATGCTTTTAAAGGCAAATTCATGATAACAATTCTGCTTGAGGTAAGAGCTTTGTACCCTGAGAAAGCTAACCATAATTTTAAAAGTAAAAGTGATTCTAGAGCAAAGGTCTTGTGTTGCTGCCAAATCCATGGCTAGAAGAAAGCTGTAATTTGTTAGGGAAAGCCACAGATTGGAAAAAGCAAAAGACAACTGCAGTACTCTGAAAGTCAATACCTGGACAGGACTGCATAGAGTAGAAGATGGAAACAGGCAAAGCACCAAAAAAAAAAAAAAGTGGGGATAGGTGCTATTTCCAACATATTGAGAATTGACAAAAATACTCAAGATACTACTGTAATTGGGATTTTAGCAAAACCAGTTTAAGATGTATCAGAAAACATGGCTATGAAATAGCAAGCAATAGCACAGTAATTATAAATGGCAACAGTGTGATGCAAAATCGGAACGTATTTATTCTTCTGATTATAGATATGATGATTATGACTACGGTGAAATTAATCAGCTGTTGGACCGCAGCTTTAAAATTTATATCAAAACTGTAGTGTGTGCTCCTGAGAGGACCACAAATAGAATGTATGATAGCTTTTGGAGGCAATTCAAACATTCTGAGAAGGTATGTTGTATATACATTGTTATATATCTGTGTCTTGTGACTTAGTAGCTTGAATAATATTGCTTGACAGTTGCATCTACTAAGGCAGACATGTCAAACACAAGGCCTGGGGGCCGGATGCGGCCCGCGAAGTGTTTTCATGTGGCCCGCGAAGCCATCCTGGAAACAGTGAGGGAACGGCCCCCGCTGCCTTGGCCCTGGCTCAGGCCAGCCAGGAGCCAATGTACAATTTTGTGGTGGCCATCTTGGCACTTGCCCTGGTGGACCATGCCTTGGCACTTGCCCCGGTCCCACCCCTTTCTGCCAGAGACCCTCAGATCTGTCCCACTCCTGACCAGGCCCCCACAGGCCCCCTTGACACGACCAGTAGGCCACACCCACTCCATCCACGCCCACCCAGTAGGCTGCACCCACCCGCCCCCCCATGGCCAACTGCAATGCTGATGCGGCCCTCATTGAAATTGAGTTTGACACCCCTGTACTAAGGCATTCATTTTGCTTATATTGACTTAAATAGCTCTTTACACTTTCACTAGTCTGTAAAGTTTTTGTCTTTACATTATTGTTCTTAGTGGAAATCACAACATTAATGAATATACTGTATTGAGGAAAATTCTGTATGATTAGAGGTATCTTGTCTCTCCTGATAAAGACTTAGTCATGCCAGGCCTAAAGCCAGGATCACAGGCTAATGAATATTGCACATATAGCAACCGAATGGAGGCTGTAGTCCACCTAATTGGCTGTTGCATAAGATCCCTGCCAGCATCAGCCACTAGTATGTTCATGGATTTCCGTCTGGCTTCAATTCAAATATTAGCAGCATTTCTGCATGCCTTAGAATATTGTAAAGCAGAGGTCCCCAACCTCTTGGGCACCAGGGACTGATTCCGTGGAGAAAGGTTTTTCCACGGACCGGAGAATATGTGGTTTTGTGTGCTGCCTGCATCCCACAGATGGGGCTTTGCTTGTTTGTGTGGACCGGTTGCTGGCATGCCGTGGCCCGGTACCGGTCCACAGACAGAGGGTTGGGGACCCCTGCTGTAAAGCACAAAAGATACTAAACCCAACTTTTTTTGTTTTCTTTTAAGGTTCACGTCAATTTGCTTCTCATAGAAGCACGGATGCAAGCTGAACTGCTTTACGCTCTGAGAGCCATTACTCGTTACATGACGTGAAAACTTTGGGCAGTAGTAATCGAAGGGGCAACTTACCAGGGCTTGTTAAGGGGCTTCTCAACCAGCAGGGGCTAAAAGCCATGAAATTATTTGTGCCATAGTGTTTATTACTACTACTGCTACTACTAGTATTATTGCAGCTCTTTCCTTAATGGGATATCACTGCTGATGTTGAGCTTAGTGGTAGGACAGTTGTTCAGAGACAGAATCAAATGGATTCCAGCCTGCTCTAGTTAGCATGGGAGGCAATGACTTCTGCCAGACAACTAATTACCAAAATCTTTATGTATTGTTACAAATAAATAAGAATCTGGAAGATAAGAATGTTGCTTTTGATATAAGGGTGAATAATGTTTTTATAAAAGTCCTGATGCTGCTGAACGTGCTGGTTAAATGAAGAGATTAGCAATTCCAGTTATTAAGCTATAAACAAATGCAAGCAATGCTACGGTCTGAGCCTACGTTGTATGTGATGTTAGAGAAGATCCTTGCCGATAATGCAGAGCTGAACAGGATATTACATTAAGAGTTTTGATTGTTAAGAGAATCTTTTGCTGTCTGGGTTGGGCTTATATCAAACTGAAGCAGTGTGAGACTTTCAAAGCTGCTTAAAAATCTGCAACTTTGTGAAAAGCTAAATAGTTGAGAGCAAGGATAGATAATCTACTTCTTCAGTATTCCTAGAAGCTATCAAAGGTGTGGAAACATCCATTCAGGTATCAAATAGCTTCTTATTAAAACACTCATTGCTACAGCCTGCCCCTTAAGCAGCAGCTTATGTAGTTAAACAAGAAATTAACATAAGAACAACAAGAACAAAAACCCTGTAAGTGACTTTGACATATATGTGTGAGTGCGTGCATGTGTAAAATATATGGACACTTTTTGTATGAAGTCTGTTAGTATTACTGGGTTGTTTAAATAAAAAAACATTTTCCTCTTTTTTCAGACTTCTTACACTAGTATCAATTCATTACAAAATAGACTAATGAATGCTGTGTCTGGTGTGCATTACTAATTTGTGTTTGAGAGAAAAAACGACAAAAGTTAAACTGCAATTCTTGACAGTTCAACAGGAAGCATCTGCTATTTCCTTTATTCAAAAATGCAAGGCAAATGCTGATCCAAAACATATAAGCCAAATGTGCAATTTTAACTTGGCTTTGGCTAAAAATGCCCATTTCATTCCCTCTATATGAATTTCATTTGTGAAATCAAGAAACTATCGTCACTTACCAAATTAGCTTATCAATAAATGGACAAGGATTATAATCTTTTCACATAAATACATTTACAATTGTTTAAAAATCAAAATCTGCCTTTATACTGTGACTTTTCAATATATTTTTTAATTTTTGGGTGGAGAATGTTAGTCTGAATCATCTAAAAATTAATGTTGAAATTCTTGACCAAATGCAATATTAGTTCTATACATTAAAACCTAACAAAATTATTTAACAATGAATGCTGTCTGAATTCCTTTATCTACACTTGATAACCATAGTACTAACTCTTGCAATCTTTTATAAAATCTTAAGTATAAACCATAACAGTATTATAAAGTTAAATCCAAAAGATACTTAATTCAGATGTTGTAATTAGTTTATTTTTGTTCCCTAAACGCCACTGTAAATTTAAGAAAAAGGTATTCTACAATGAATGTACATGCTATGTAGAAAAACTAAAGAACAAAAGGCATTTTCCGTGGAAACAACATACTGAAATGTTTTAATATCAAATGATTTGCAAAAGCAGCAGCAAAAGAAATGATTTGCACATTGATTGAATCAACACCCATCTTGAAATGAAGTATTAGGAACTCGAGCAATGATTTTCAATTTTGAATTCTCTGGAGAAGTTTCTGTGCCACAGGTTTGAACTCTGTTTCCCAATAAAGTTTGTGATATTCTCTTAAGTCACTGTCAAAACTGTAAGCCAGTGCCAGTTCTTCATCTACAGCAAGAAAAAAAGTACCTACCGATCAGCATTAAATATACTTAAAACAATTTTAAACGAATTATTCACGCATGTATTTGATGTATCTGCTACCAACACAGAGAAGAATCTTTTTTAAAAAAATGCACACAAAAATCTTAAATTTCCTGAGGGTTTTGGTGGTTGTGGTTTTTCCCCCCCTGCCTTTGAGTCAGACTTGACTCCTAATTACTTAAATGAGTTTTCTAGGCAGCATTTGTAGAGGTGGTTTTGCCACTGCCGCCTTCTTGAGGCTGAGAAGGAGTGACCACTAGCCAAAGGTTATCCAGCTAGCTTTCATGCAGGAATAGAACTCAGGTTTCTGTGCTCCTAGTCCAATAATTTAACTATTAGATCAAACTGTCTCTCAAATAACTGATAGCTTCTTTAAAACAAAACTAGGTGGTTGGTACCATGTTTCCCTGAAAGTATGACCTGGTCTTATATTTTTTGGGTCACCAAAATAAGACCTATTTTTGGGATAGGTCTTATATTTTTGCAGCCACAACGGAACAGGAGGCAAGGCGGGAGTGGGTGGGGTGGAGCACAAAGCAAGATGATGGGGAGGTGAAGGACAAAGCGATGCACCGGTGCTTCAGCCACTAAGCAAGATGGGGGTGGAGGAAGCGAGGCGGGGGAGTGCGGAGCTTCTCCATGCGCCCTGCACGGGCTGACAGAGGGCCTGTAGCGAGGCCACCAACATGCCAACAACTGGCCTCGCCGCCACGGCTCCAGCAGCCCCATGCAGGATCGCCTAGCCCGCTTCTCCTTACTCGCCGCCACAATGAAGCAGGAGGCCGAGAGATGCACCGGTGCCATGGCCACTAAGCGAGGGGGGAGTTGAGGATGAAGTGAGGCGGTGGGTTGGAGGACGAAGCTTCTGCTTACTCGCCGCTGCAATGAAGCAGGAGACTGAGGAATGCACCAGTGCAGCGGCCACTAAATGAGGCTGTGGGGAGGTTGAGAACGAAGCGAGGCAGGATGGAAGATGAAGCTTCTCCTTACTTGCTGCCGCAACAAAGCAGGAGGCTAAGCAATGCACCCTTGCTGCAGCCACTAAGTAAGGTGGTGGGTGGGGTGAAGGACGAAGCTCCAAGAATATCCTTGGCTGCCGGGCCTGCAGAGCCCTGATGCTGGTGGAGTGAGGCGGCAGCGGGCAGAGCAGCCCCTTCCCCATCACCCTTCACTTCCCCAAAGAATCCCTTCACTAACCTGCTTTCCAGCTCGTTCGCTGCCGCCATGTGCAGGGCAACAAAAGAAGCCTGTGAGACTACCAGAAAAAAAAAAGTTCAAAAGAGACCTTCCAACTTTGTAAGATCTTTTTTTCACGAGAATTTGGAAGGTCAGATCTTTTTTTATTTTTTAATTGTAGCCCCACAAACTTCTTTGTGTTGCCCTGCACGCGGCGAACAGAGCTGGAAAGAAGCTTAGTGAAAGAATGTGGTTGCCCTGGGCTGGGGGTAAGGATTTGGCATTCTGGATGCCCTGGGGTGGGGTGGGAGTAAGGATTTGGAATTGTGGATGCCAAATCCTAACCCCCAGCCCAGGGCAACCACATTCCTTCACTAAGCTCCTTTCCAGCTCCGTCCTCCGTGTGCAGGGCAACAAAAAGAAGTTTATGGGGCTACAGTTAAAAAAAAAAATCCGACCTTCCAACTTCTCGCGAAAAAAAAGATCTCGCAAAGTTGGAAGATCTGAACTTTTTTTTTTTACTGGTAGTCTCACTGGCTTCTTTTGTTGCCCAGCACAATGGCGGAGAACGAGCTGGAAAGCAGGTTAGTGAAGGGGTTCTTTGGGGAAGCGAGGGGAGACGGGGAAGGGGCTGCTCCGGCCGCCACCACCTCACTCCGCCAGCATCAGGGCTCTGCAGGCTAGGATACTGTTGGGGCTTCGTCCTCCACCCCCCCACCCCCCCCCTCACTTAGTGGCTGCAGCACAGGTGCACCGCTCAGCTTCCTGCTGTGTTGCGGCGGCGAGTAAGGAGAAGCTTCGTCCTCCACCTCCCCCACTGCCTCTCTTAATGGCTGCGGCACCGATGCATTGCTTAGCCTCCTGCTTTATTGCGGCAGCAAGTAAGAAAGAGAAGCTTTGTCCTCTACTCTCCCACTGCCTCGCTTTGTGGCAAGCAGACAGAATGGGCGGGCGGGCAGCTGCATAGGCTCTTAAGTAGGGCTTACTTTTGGGGTAGGTCCTATTTTGGGGGAAACATGGTAATAGGAGCCGTAGTGGTGCAGTGGTTAGAATGCAGTATTGCAGGTTAACTTACTGCTCACTGCCAGGAATTCGATTCTGACCGGCTCAAGGTTGACTCAGCCTTCCAGCCTTTTCAAGGTCAGTAAAATGAGGACCCCAGAGTGTTGGAGGCAATATGCTGACTCTGTAAACTGCTCAAGACAGGGCTCTAAAGCACTATGAAGCAGTATATAAGTGCTATTCCTATTGCTAATAATAATTTCTTGCTAAGACTCTGGAAAGACTGTAAATAAAATAATGGGCTACAAGTTGTAAAAGCAACTTCCTATATGTCTTATTTCCATTCATTAAAGAAACACAGACTGTTTTTACAGCTTACCAAGAAATGTCATAAGAAGAACTAGAAGACTGTTTGAGTCATCATCTTCAAAGCAGGGTTCATTACTTGTAACATTCTCACTGTAGTTCCACAAAGTTTTGCATATCAAACCAGCCAGTTGCCAGTCTGTGGGCCCAAAATCTCTCAAGCAATCGATTAATCTGTTGTAATAATAGGTGAAAAACAAATGTTTGATTTTAAACAGCTGTTATTAAACCCTTGCAAAGCTAGAGTCTTTGTAGAAGCCTTGTAGGAAAATAGAAACAACAATATACTAGATATCCCCCCTCCCCTCCCCCCGTGTGAATTTCAGCAATATCTTTTCTGACTCAGCTACTTTCTAGGACTTACTTTTTAATTCCTCCTCCTTCATTCAAAATACTCCGCCTGCTTTTATCTACAGTAAGATTGAGGAGAACTCCACAGGCTGAAAAGCAGACATCTTGGTGCCTGGCATCAAGCAAAGCAATCATGAACTTGTACACTAGATCACAGAAGGAAAAAAAGAGAACAAACTTGCTTTTAAGAACGGATAACTGTATCAGCTGCACCATTACAATACTGCAGTGATGGCGAACCTTTTAGAGACCGAGTGCCCAAAAACTGCCCCCCGTCCCCGCTCCGCCCTGCCCACTGGGCCACCTACCACCTCCACAGCCCACCACAGATCACCCAGGCAGCCCAGCAGCGCCATGGCGGCCATGCCCTCCGCCCCTGCCCCGCAGTATCATCTGCGCGCAATGGGGCGGAAGGGAGGAGTCTTGTCCCCGCTGCCCATGTCCTTGGCTCCGCTGCTTCGTGTGGACCATGCCCAGGGGCAATTCTCGGGGGGGGCTGCTGGTGAGGAGGGGGCCATGGGAGGAGGGGGGTTGGGGAGACGTTGCGTGTGCCCACAGAGAGGGCTCTGAGTGCCACCTCTGGCACCCGTGCCATAGGTTCGCCACCACTGCAATACTGCTATGCCACTTCTAAAGGACTGAAATATTGATTTCTCTTCTGTAGCAGTTATCAACTCTCTATGCAATTAATGAAAATGCCACATTTTTCACAGGCTTATCCCAACAATCTCAACGTGAAGACTTAGCATAACTATCTTCATCACAATTTCTTTAGATGTCTTTTTAAAAAGTCCCCTGATACAAAGCTTGAACTCGTGCATTGATGTCTCATTCATTTTTGGCTTTTCAATTTTTTTAAAAGTAAAAAGTATGTATTTTAATTGGAAGGAAATCACAGTGTTGTGTGAAATATGCCTTTGCAAATTCTGCTTAAGTTTAACTCTCCTTTTATGACCCTTGTCCAAGCATTCTCAAATAGAACTCTCTATGGAGATCATTTTAATAGCCATTTCTTTTAAGCAAAATCTAACAGGCAACGTTTAGTGAATATATAATTTGTGTTACTTTATGTAACATGGGTTTTTCTAATGGGATAGGAACTCACCCTTTCGCTGTATAATAAAATTGCAGATTTCATGGTTCTGAGAAAGATTACCAAAGACACGAATAGCCTCCAGAATTCCATCCATGTGACTGCTCATTAACATCGTTAAAAGCACTGTAAGTGGAAAATACACTGCATTTGATATACTTTTATTCCAAAATATGTACTCTTATTCCAAAAGCAGGGCAGATAAACATGTCTCCTAGAAGAGCAGATTAAGCAATAAGTGTACATCTTTATTTTAAGTTCTCAGGAAAACTTGTTGCATGTTGTATCTCAGGCTAAAAGTGCCCCGACACCTACATATAAATACAATTTATACACTGGTATGCATAAATCAAGTTACCCTTGGTCAAATCTTAACACTAACAACAGGATATCAACATAGTGTAGAAGTAATATCCATAGTTAATGCAGAAACTGAAGTTTAAAACAGATGCTTCAGCAAGACAATGTTCAAATCAACCCTATTTACAGAAAAGAAAGATTTTTGCAATCCTTCACAGTCCCCACAAATGAGTATTATTGAAAATCTAGAGGGAGAACTCAACTGTGTAGTTCATGCAAGGACACCTAAAATATTTCTGATTTAGAAAAGTTCCCCATGGAAGAGTTCAAAAAGTGTTTCTTAGCACATTACCACAAAATGTTTGAAAGCTGTTTTTTTCTGCCAAAGGAGGTATTTCAAAATATCCACTGAAAAGGTATCCAAACTTTTGCATCTGCAATATTGACTGGTTCTTTTTAAAATTTCAAACCTGTACACTACTGCACACAAATAAGTGTGAACTTAAAATTTGCAGAAAGATGGGTTTAACTTTGCAATGTACAGAGGATATGCCAGTTTATTTTCATTTAGGGATTCAATGAAACATACAATTAGACCAGGACTGTATACATTTTGATATAACTATATACTGTTTGGGAAGCCTAGTTAGTGGAAGGACCAGAAAAAAAGCTATATAATATTTCCCTTTATTTTCTACATTCTGCTGAAACTGCCCTCACCACAGTTACTTTCTCACTTTTACTCTCACCCTCGTAAAACTTGACATTTCTCTTGTCTTTCTTCCTTACTTGCTGACAAACCTCCATTAATCTTACTGAATATCCAGACAAAAATCCTGGCATTTTTCTTACTTAATCAGGAAGTTTATCTTTCCTCTAATAGCTAAATCTCTTGTAAACAAGACTCCAACTTTTAAAAAATATCAAGCATATCAGACATATGGTGTTTGCACCCTTTCAAAAGATGCTGAACTGCAAGTTCTGTCAAACCCAGCCAGCACACCCAATTGTGAGAGATGCTAGAAGAGTAATTCAGCAATATCTACAAAGGCAGAAAATCCCTATTAACATATTGTGCGTTTGAAAATTTTGTTCAGTGAGTTCTCATCTAACATCTTTGAGT